CAGCAGCCCCTTGCAGAGCCGTGCTGCCTGCACAATGTGGAGATTCAGGCAAGGCACAGAAGCAAAAATGGTCATTGAAGAAGGGGCCTCTTGCAAAGCATGTTTGAATGTAAATACTCTGAAATCAGCTTCAAACACACAACAGATGGACCCAAAGTAAGGAAAAGTGTCGTCGTTGTTTCATTGCCAAACTTCTAAGAGTTTTATTTCCCGGCAATGAAATTGCAGAGTATTTTGTTTTGGGGGCGGGGGGAGAGGTTGGCTGTTAGCCCCTCAAATATTGGCTCCTTATCTGTAGGCCAGACCCTGTGGCCTGACTGGACTATGCAATTTGGTGCATAACCAAAATCACACGGCCCCAGGGACAGCTTTGTGTTTTCTTCTGGGTCTCGGATTGTGCTGTGCAGCAGTGGTAATGTGTATTAGATGTCAGATGGCTGCATCGACCTCTTGCACAGCAGGAAAGGAACAAAGCAGCTGCAGAACAAGGAGAAAGGGGGGGAAAACCCTGCCATCAGGTCTCTAAGTGCATGCTTGCAGCACAGACTCAGCTCAGTCTAGGCAGAGCCAGAGACAGCTGGGGATTACATCCAAGTGCTTCATAACGACTGTAAAACTAATATTTCTGTAGAGCTATACTAACTCCAGAGCACTTGTGCGTCAGTAAGTCACACTTTTCTCCGCATGGGAATTTTTTGAGTGGATCAAAAGCACCTGAAGATTGTCTCCACTGAGTCTCAAAACCCTTCTTCACCAAACAGGGAGCGTGCGAGCAAACGCCGCAGCGGCACAGGAGGCGTTTACGACTTTCCTCCCAGTACTTTGGCTCAGGAAAAAAGTCAAGCTCAGAGAAAGCCTTGCTTGAACTTAGTTTCTTTTATCTTTGAAGTGGCAGTGCTTTGGTCTTCAAACGCGCTGACCACAAGTGGCTGAAGTGGAGCCACCGATCAAACGCGCCGGCAGTCCCGGGTGCCGACCACAGGTCCTGAGTGCCAGCCACGGCTCCTGGGTGCCGACCACGGCCCCTGGGTGCCGACCATGGGTCCTGGGTGCCGACCACGGCCCCTGGTGCCGACCACGGCTCCTGGGTGCTGACCACGGCCCCTCGGCCGCGTGCTGCAAGAGAGGCGACGTGTGTCACTGGACTGATCAGGCCATCTTTGGCGTTGTGATTGGGGGCTTAAGGTTCGATCTTTGATGACTGGGCTTTTTTCTTCTCTTTTTTTTTTCTTTTCATTTTGTCTATGGAGCTGGCCTTTAAAATCTTTTTCTGCCCAGTACGAAGGAAATATCCATGTTATTGTTACAAAATTCCAGCAATATTTAGTGGAGTCTGCAGGAAACCCCCTGGGAACTTCTGGAGACCCAGGGAGAGAAAGAACAACTGTTTGGAAACAACAAAAGAGCAGTTGAGATGAGAAATAAAATCTCCCCTGTGAGCCACAGCATTCAGTGCCTCTTACTTGTTTTATTTTTTTCCTCCTAAAATGCACTTGGAGAAGTGTTGTAGCCATGGGGGAGGGCGGGAGGATCTAGGGATATCCATGAGGAAATACATTTCACGTGAGCAGTTGATATAGTTGGCCAAAAAAAACCAAAAAAAAAAAAAAAAAGGCCAAAATTTAAACAGGCGTCGCTGCGCGCAAACCCTTCCGCAGCCCTGAAAGAGAAGCAGGCAAGCTTCCGGCCGAATGCAGGTAGGGGATGCTCGGACTGAACGCCGCTTTGTGAATCTGGGGGCGGGGGGGGGGGGGGGAAGAAAAAAAAAAAAAATTTTGTCAAAAACAGGGGCGAAAAAC